CAGATCCCAAAAGTAGCAAAAAGGCAATCGTAATTCGCAACTTTCAATGGCTGATTACGATGTTAGATATGTCCTTTTTGTTGGTAGTTTTGGTCCTTGGCATCTTTCACTCTCAAAACGACATAACTAATTTGATGCAAACTGCTTGTAATTTTTTTGTTCTGATGAAGGTGATATTCGATTTGATACTTTGTAAGAAAAACTACGTTCAACTGCAGGTAATTAGGTGTTCAATGTTCGAGGATATTCCGTGGTGGAGGAATAGTAAACAGATTTTTTGATCGATCTAGTTACTAATAAGGGAAATTAAGGCGTTCGTAGACGTGGCCAATGACATGGAGTTTCAGATAATCCAAAGATACATGGATCGTTACAAATTTTTCTTCTCGATGACCGGGATGGGTTACATGATAGCTGGAATCTCCTTCTGTGTGGCACCTTTGTTCTCTTCTCAAGAACTACCAGCTGGTGGTTGGATTCCGTTTTCTATCCAATCACTCGGAGTATACTACACAGTTTATGCAATTGAAGTTTGCTGCATTTTCCAAACGGTGCTTTGCATTGGCGTGGACTTCACGATAGCCATTCTCTTGAGTTTTCCTGCAGCCAAGTTGGACATACTAGGAACGAAATTGCAGCATGTGACGGGCTACGACATGTTGGTAAGCTGTGTCAAGGAACACCAAGAAATAATAAGGTAGATAAATTTTGAATCGTTGAAATGATTTTATCAAAGTTTAACGTATCATGAAGGGTTATCTTACCCCGTTAAATTACAAACACGTGACTTCTTTTGTAAAAGGGATTCTGCACATGTCGGATTGTCATTTATAAAATCTTGTCTATATATTTATTAACTATGGGTATGAAATAAGAGATGCCGAGTGATGAGAATATATACTAAAGTGTTAAAAGCCGGTTTCGATGATATTTTGGAAAATTACAAAATAGCCGAAAGTAACAGAAACCTAATTTTCTTTGTTTTCCTCTTTATCTGTTTATTCCGTTTATCTCTTATCTGAAGGAACAAAGATCCTGCTACTCTAGAAATATGCAATGTTTCGTCGACATGTGCTATTAACACTTCAGTATTCTCCTATGAGAGATTGAAATAAATTGAGATTATGTCGCGATTAGATATGTGGACGATACTAGTGCCGCTCTTAGGACATTATTGTTGAAAGCGAACGTTACAGTGGGTTGTGCTGTGATATGCGGAACTATTCCCTTGATTTACGTGAGTCTGTTCTGCTCGTCACTTTTTCTTTCTGCACCAATAGTGACATAGCGTTGTAGAAAAGTAGTGATTGGATTCTTGACGCGTGTTGTGGAATTTTAAATGAAAATTTCTATAACGTCCAGATGCAATCCGTGGGCGTTGTCTGTCAGTATCTTCCTGTGGTGGTGTCAGGCTGTGCCCAGCTGTTAATCTTCTCCTGGCCAGCAGACGATTTAAGAGAAAGCGTAAGCCGGCCAATAGTCACGTTGATTCGATAGATCATCATTTGAGCTGGCATGCACTGACACACCATCCTTTTTCTCCGCAATTAAACGAAGCTTCTTTGATCACTTTCATCCCATATTTCCACAGACATTTAATTGAACCTTTTAATTGGATAACGTGCTAACTTGTTCTTTCTTAGAGTCTACGTTTCGCAAAGTCGCTAAATGATGTCCAATGGTTAGGGAAACCGCGTAAAATGAAGAGCGCCGTTATAGTTATGATGCAGAGGAGTCAGAAAACGCTTCTAATGACAATGAGCGGTTTCCTACCACCACTTTCTTTGGAATATTTCGCAAGCGTAAGCAGCTACAATTTCTTTTACAAAATACAGTCCAGAAATGACTTTCTTCATCGATCGTAATCATTCACCGATATAACCATTGCATACAATGTTTTTATAGTTTCTGAGAACAGTATCATCCTACTTCATGGCAACGAAAACTATGATTGAGTCTTAATAATCGCAGCATGTATCACCGGAATACGTATGTAACCGAAATTTGCAGTAAATGTATATATTGAAATTTTATTTTTCTACAAAATCAAGTAAATGAACGAAAAATCATTTGTGAAACGCAGGAATAATGTTTCGGCATGACGTTAAGTTTTTTCTATGCAGGCGGTTGTTATGAACGCGAACAATCTGATCGTACATTTTAAATATCTAGAATGGGTTATATCGTAGAATACGTGCTAATAGTTTTCTCGTATCTGTATACTTCTATATAAAGTTTAATAAATTGAAACATGCCCAATTGCAAAAACCAATTATGGCGGCTCAATTCCCATGAACTCAATCAACATTGCGACTGTTTCACGTAGACTTTAAGCAATTATATTATCCTCGTATTGCAGTCCCAATATTTAATCATTCGTGAATTCCTAGCTTCCTTATATAACGGACGAGTAACGTCAAACCCAATATTTGTAATCAATTTTCGATAGCTTGTTAGGTGCAGAATAAACCATGGCGCACGGCATACGTATCCACCATCGGTAGAAAAATAAATTCGTTTGTATGTTTTATAAATATTTTCAGATATTACACATTGATATGGAATAATTTTACATTAATTGCCGATGAAAGTAGGAAAGTGATTCTTCCAGAGTATTTTGTGCGTATAAATAGATATTTTTAGATTATTTACATGCTATAGTGTTTCCTAAAGGCGATCGTCGTCGTATGTGGCCTATTATAGTAGTCGAAAATCTTCGTCCAGCAATGGCTAATGGGTATAACGTTTCTTCAGTCACGGCTGTTGACACCGAAAGTTCTCTGCATTTGCATCAAACAGTCAAAGTCGAGCAATCAGAAATCCAAGGATTCGCGATTAAATCCAAATATTGATTTAAGACCTGCACAGAGAAACAGAAATCTAAAGGCAATCATTATTTTCCGTGTAATATCAGACGTTACAAATATATATTTATATAGGGATATGGTTTGATTGGAAAATATACGGGAAAAAGGATGTTGTTAATTCCAATATATTTTATTTACTAGCTAAGGCGACTTAAGAGAAAAGATGAAAGCTAAAAGATTAAACTAATTACGCAATCCACACTCGCAAGTCAACTCTACGAACTATCAGCGACTCGACTTTCTCTCAAACCTCGTGTACAACATTCACTAACAGGACTGCCCTAGGACAGCCATTGCACCCTCATTTTAATCTTGCACTCTGCCTTCTTTCATACTCAAGCCTTCTTCCTGGATCACGCGTTCCAGTAGCCACGCTTTCCAGGTGGGGCGCCTTTCGCCCTTCATTTGCCTTCCACTCAGTCATAAATATTAGGTTCATCCGATCCTTGCACGCGGTCACACGTCCTTCCACGTGCACTTCAGATGACACTCTAAACGTTCAATCTGAACCTTAGGTTGCTGTCTATTGCCCGGCGACAGGTAGAAGGATCCAAGTGTTCCTTTGCACTAACCCTCCCACTTACAGTTCCTACATCTATTTTATATAGTATTGTACGAAAAAAAGCACGATTAAGTATTGTATATGTGCAATCTTGAGGTGGATTTTCATAGCGGACATAGACCACCTACTTCCTCTAAAATGCGATTTTATTAATAAATTATCATCTTCGTGCAATAGCAGTTGGTCGGATTCCAGTTTTCTTAATGTATCAATATGCTTGAAGCCATTTATTTGTCTCCTCCTTGTCGTTCATGCACAAGTAAAATTACGAATCAGCTTTATTCGAATCCCGTGAAGAATTAGGAAATACACTTTAAACTCCTATCGTTCCACAAATCGAGTCACAATCGAGCTCATACCTGCGATTAATTATTCGAATTAACGAGACTGTAATCTTAAGTTTCGCTAAATTTACTACTGAACGACAACATCGCGCGATTTCGATAACTTATACGTTGCAATTGCGCGATACTAGTAACTTTTGGGAACTCGCTTCAAACACCAAAAGAGTGCAGAATTAAGGGTTGACCAGATGGTCGAACTACAGAATGGGTAGATATACAGAATCACTGTGGTACTTGTAACCGATAAATTGAATCGCAACAAAAATTTCAATATTGCTTGCTGCATTACCGCGAAGATTTCCGTGTATATACCGAGAAGTGAATCGAGCGACTGAATTAAAAGAAATCACCGATACTGCGAATAGGAAATAACAAATAATAAGCTTTTATTTTTAACGTTTACACGGTAAAGACACGGCCAGGCGAAATAACTGAATATGAAAGATAAATGGGCGGTATTACCATAAAAACAACTCTTCTCTATAATTTCCGCTACTATCCCACAATTAACGCAACACTGTGCTATTTGAGAAGTAATGAAAATGCTACAAAATCGTAGAAAGTCGTTCATTCGGGGCATAATTGCTTAGATTCACGCGACGCATTGCGCGTAAACCATAATGCTCTTACTGTGAATGATTAACGAGAATAAAGTATCGATTTTCATCTGCTTATTTTCCGAGAACACCTTCCGAGAAAAGGAAGTTGACTTCACTCTGAGCTCCACAGTCTTTGAAGGACGGTTAGTGGAATAAGCATGATCGTCCTGAACATTCGCCAAGCACTTTACATACTGGAACTGGCCGGCACGTTTACATGTACTTGGCCCATAGATCCGAAGAGTAGCAGGAAGGAGATAGCATTTCAGAACCTCAGATGGATGTTTACAATGTTAAACGTGATTCTGTTAGGATATTTCTGGTCCTCGCAATTTCCCACTTTCGAGATAACATAGCTGTGTTAATGCAAGCAACCTCTGAGATGACTGCTCTGCTCTAGGTGTTTTTCGATTTGATACTTTGCAGGAGGAACTCCTGTCGACTGCAGGTCACAACAAATTCAAATTACAAAGATAGCCGCTTGTGAGAGCATGGCAAGAAGATTTTCTGATTAATCAAGGTTCTGATAGCTAAGCTGAAAGTGTTTTTGAACGAAGCCAGTGAACACGAGCGTACCGTAATACAAGGATACATAGATCGGTACAAAGTATTTTTCTCGGTGACCGGGATGAGCTACATGTTTGGTGCAGCCTCTTTCTGCTTTGTACCTTTCTTTACCGGCCAAGAGCTACCAGCTGATGGTTGGATTCCGTTTTCTATCGAATCATACGGAATATTTTGTACAATTTATGTCGTTGAAGCCTATTGCGTTTTACAAACGGGATTCAGCATTTTTGTGGACTTTATGATAGCCATTCTCTTCAGTTTCTCTGCAGCCAAATTAGACATATTGGGGATGAAATTACGGCACGTGAAAAGCTACGACATGCTGGTAAGCTGTATCAAGGAATATCAAGAAATAATACGGTAAGAGAAATTTCAATTCACGTTGAAACCTAAACTCGTCTATGTTTGAATTCATTTTTTGATAACGGAATTACGTACCACGCTACGACTGTCTTTATAGACATAAAGTTTGTATACTGTTCCTCATTGACGTTGTCACTGACAGATATTATTGAAAAAGAACATAAATAGATACAATATTCATTACTTTAGGAAAGAGTCAAACACAGATCAACTATTGTACCTTAATTTGAGCAGCACTCTTTATATACTGAATTCTTTGTTCTTACACCATTGAATAAAAGCAGAGCATCACACGATTTAAATGGATTAAGCTATTTCACTGTTAGATACGTGGAGGATATTAAAGTGACTGTTGAGGCTTTATTAATCAAAACGAACGCAACGATGGCGTGCGCTGTGGTATACGGAGCTTTGCCCCTGATTTATCTAAGTTCAGCCTACTCGACAGGGCTTTCCTTCCTGCACCAATAGCGACGTAGCATAGTAAACAACTAGGCAGGAAATATTAAATGGAAATTTCTATGATAACATTCAGAATCAGTCTTTGTCCGCAATCAGTCAGTTTCTTCCAATGGTGTTGTCAGACTGCTCACATCTGTTCGTCATTTCCTGGCCAGCAGACGATTTGAGGGAAAGTGTAAGTCAGTCAATAGTAACTTAGATTCGATAGAACATTATCTCATCTGGCGTGCACGGCTTCGCCGTATTATCCTCGAAGGTAGTACATCGCGAATACTTGCCGTTACTGTATAATCGGTTCTAACTTCCGGTAGCTATGTTTCCAAGAGCAACGCCGAAAAACGTGGTCGCCCTCGTCTACATAGCGGTTAAGCTATCCTTCTGTTGGCCGCTTCCATCGAGAACCAGTAAATCTCAAGTGCTACGCTTCTGAATCTTGCGATCCGTGTTGTTGATCAACGCGATCTTACTCCTCGTACCAGCGATATACGGAATATACGCACACCGTGAAAACTTGATAGAGTTTACGAAAGTAGTCTGTCTCTCTCTCGTCGTTCTTCATGTGTCCGCGCTATCTTTCTTCTGGTTCACATTGTGCTATGAATTTCAGATAAGAGTTGCCCTTGATCGCACGAGAAGTCGATTGTTCTAGCAACTTGTTGCAGAAATTAATCGAGGCGATGAAGTTTTGCTGCAAGAGAGCCAACTCGTACGAGAAATACATCTTCCAACGATACGTGGACAAGTACAACATGCTGTATGGCGCGTCCGCGGTTTGGTTCTACTTATTATCGTTACCATGGGGACCTTCTTTTCATCCCAGCCTTTCCCAACAGGTGCGAAGTATCCGTTTCGCGTTGATTACGAGCCCTTGAGGGCTATCATCTTCGTGCAGCAAACTTTAGTAGGCTTTCAGTGCTCTGCGCTACTGTGTACCAGTGTTGTTTGCGCCTTGCTCTTGCTCTTCGCCGGTTCGCGCTTCGAAATTTTGATGAACGACCTGTGCGTAGTCGAGAATTCTGATTCGTTGATAAAATGTATCAGGAACTATTACGTCGTGAAAATGTATGGAATTATGTTTTGGCGAAAAAGAATAACACGAGGCGTGGAAGGTGCTGTTTCAGATACGCAAAGGAAGTGGCGAACCTGATACAGTTCACGGCTCTGATCTCGTTGTGCATTTGTGGCTTCGAAAGTGTGTTCAGTTGTATGATTATGAAGGTTCACGGCTCTGATCTTGTTGTGCATTTGTGGCTTCGAAAGTGTGTTAAGTTGTATGATTATGATCAAGGTGAGTAATTTCATTAATCCCGCGAGATAATTTGATGACAGGTTTAATAGGATTTCAATCTGCTTGAACGGGTAGCGAGAACCGTTCACCGTGAAGTTTCAATACTTTTCTGTGACTGCAACCACGCTATTAGGGGTGTTCCTGTTCGCTTGGCCAGCTGACAACTTGATAAGTGTAAGAAGTTTCAGTTTTCAGTTCTCTAGCTTCGAACTATGGGTTGCAAAGAAACGCGTAATTATTGCCAGAGCGACAACGCGATGAAAGCGGTATACGAATCGAAATGGTACGAGCAACCCGTGAACATGCAGAAACATGTGTTACTCGTGATTATCCCACAGTCCCCGGTGATCTTGGGGATCAACTGTATCATCCCAGCTTTCTACTTGAAATATTATTGCTCGGTATGCTAATAGTTTACACCGTGTTTCGTTCCTTCTTTCATTCGTCATAAGTGTAACTCTTTATTTCGTATCTCACTTTATCACGAACATGTTCTCCATATTCACGGCTTTACGAATAATTATGGAGAATTAACTCTTTGGATCAGCCATGTTTAATGTAATTAAATTATTCAAGTTATACGAATTCTGCATCTTCTACAAGTTTAAATCGCAATAAAGTGATATATAGCAAAGTGGATATAACATGGCCTGTGTTATTTGTGTTCCTGTTCGATTGTTGAACCTTTCCTCGAGAGAGGAAGCAAAACGTGACGACTGTACGACACGGTGGTTATTTGGTCGAACGATTAGACGCGATGCAAGAAATTTTACGAGCCGGACTAGAACTCAATAAGCAAAGTTAAACGATGTGTCTGGCCTAGAAATCTGACGCGAGAGAAATTATCTGTGGCGAAATTCGCCCTTTGGTCGTATATTTCTCTAGAAGAAACTAGCAGGGATTTTTCGATTAAACTTTACCCTTAAGTGTCACGAAATAGGGGCATTGTGCCTATAAAATCGAGCTGAACGTGGAACGCTGGGTATTGCAAGGGGACCCAACCCTGAGATCGAGCTATGATATTACGCTGGACTCGGATGAGCCATTCACATTGCGACACCTCGACTCAAAAATTGTCATAACTCAAAATCCGTGCGTCTCTTCGAGCACTTCCGAAGCACATCGTGTGAGAGAATCCGTCCCCTTCGCGGCTCTCTGGCCTGTTTCTCTGGCGGCGTGAACCATCTCGCTTCGCGACAGAGCAAATAGAATCCTGTAGCTTTTGTTAATAACGTAAGGATCGTTGAAGGGAATAAAAAATTCTGCGGCTACCTATCAATGGTGGGAATATTCAGCAGCACCACCACGTCCGGCCATCGTTTCCTCGCCGCTTATAAAATCCGTCGAACGAGAACGTTACACCCCTTTCATCCGTCGTTGCGGTTCTTATCTCTAAGAGGTAGACGTAAGCGCATCGACGCGAGAAGTTGAACATGCAAAAAGTCTCGATTAGCCAGTGACTCCTTTAGCCTGGTGCACGCGAAAGGAGGGAAATAATGGAAGGAAGTATGCGAAAGCATACGGAACGAACGGAGGAGCAGCTTCCGCGGCATGACGTCGAGTTACGATAATCTCATTTCTAAACAATTCCGACATATCACAGAATTTCGGACGAAATGGAGTGTGGCGGCCCGCGCACAAGCGCGTCAACATACAATGTTGCTCGACGTCTCCCTTTGGCGGTCCGGCTACACGCGGTGCCCGGGCCACCAAACATATATTGTATCGGCGAATGCAATATCTCCAGTCAAAATCGTCGCTGACGATATGTCGCGTTTTCGGCATGAGTTTCGAAGATTCAATCGAGCTCGAGCTCTCGCCAGCGACGCAACCTACACAGGATTTAATAAAGCTTCATCCCGCACCCACAGAACATTCGCTTATCCCTTTTTTCTCTTTATTTTTTACATTTCTTTCTCTTTCTATCGCTCTTTCAATCAATGCAACAAAGGCGAAACAAACAACGTTGCGTAACAGGAACAATTGCAACGTAACAAGAAATCTTTGGTAATTGACATGACAACGATGTTTCGTTTAATGGTGATGTCCTCCGCTGTGGTTGTTGCCATCGCTGTTGAGAACGTGAGCGAGAAATCCGTCCTTCCACTACCTTGCGCACCCGGGGGTGAGAGCGACCGCGCGGTTAGTGGCGCAACGCTTTGTGTGGCCAGGTATCCAGAAGGATTGTAAAACCTGGGCACAGGCGTGCGTGTCGTGCCAGCGAGCGAAGACCAGTGGGCACGTGTCTACCCCGGTCGGCAGATTTGACGCACCTTGCTGGCGTCAAGGGGATAACGGTATTGCGTGACGTGTGACTATCGTTACACACATTGACCGGCGGCGTTCCCCGTCGAGCATATTATCGCAGAAACGGTGGCGTACGCGTTACTTTCGGGGTGGATTGCTCGGTACAGCGCACCCCTCCGAATCACGACCGATCGGGGCCGGCAGTTGGAGTCTGCTCTATTCAGGCAGTTGTCGCTCCTTATCGGCACAAAACACTTATGTACGACCGCGTATCACCCGGCGACGAACGGCATGGTGGAACGTTTCCATCGTCAGCTGAAAGCGGCACTCGTGTGCCACGCGGACTGCTTGGCCGAGGCCTTGCCGATTGTCCTTTTAGACATCCGTGCCGCTTGGAAGGACGATATTGGGGCGACTTCTGCCGAGATGCTCTACGGCGAACCGATTCGTTTGCGGGGCGAATTGCTAATAGAGCGACGAAACGCGGACGCCGGCGACGAGACGTTTATCGCGAAGTTGCTCGAAGATTTCCGTGGAATGCGCCCGTCGCCTGTAACGAAGCACGGGAACAAGAGGACGTTCGTTTTTAAGGACCTCGATACGACGACTCAAGTGTTCGTGAGGTACGGCGCACTTGAAAGCGCCTTGCAACCGGCGTACGACAAGTGTATACGACAAGGGCGGGCAGGTGCGATTGTTTCCCTGACTGCTATGTCGCGGGCGGATAGCGCGAGCATTACAAGACACCGGAGGGCCAGACGTCGTCCTGATGTGGTGATGGGTTCCGTGCTTCGTCGCGCGGTGCCCCACTGATGGGCGCGTAACATCCGGGAATTCGGCGAGAATTGCGTGGCACCTGGACTCCCCGGAAATCGCTTTTACACTCTCCGCACGGCCACTGATCACTCGTCCGGTCGTCGACATCGCGGTCACTCCGTCCACTAGTCTCTTTGTGCGCAGGTCGACGAGAAGGTTGACAAAGTTCAGGAAATCGGTACCGATCATCGGAGTCGTGACAATGGCAATTACGAACCTGCACGAAAAATCCCGACTCAGTCCGAAATTTTGGCGGAACGTGACGTAACCGTAGATCGGGATTGTCAAGTTGTTCGCCGCGTACAGCTCATAGACTGTCCTTTATCGCCGACCGTTTAGCCGCGATCGCGGAAGTACGCACAGGTCTGACCAGGTATCTACCGTGAAAACAGTTCCAGTCACCCGATCGGTCACAAACAAGCGGCTCGTCTTCGGCTCGCCATCGCTTGCCGCCATCAGCGATCGGCTCGTCCGTTTCTCGCCACATAATTATACGGCTGGAGGCATGTTACCGCTGATGCCCCGAATCGCCAGTGGTACCAGCATCGGCCATCGTCGGGAGGAGGCGAATCCCTACGGTCGCGTGATCTCGAAGAGCTGCGTCGAGTACCTCGCGATGTCAAACGCGGACGGCGGTACGCGCTCCGGTCAACGCGAAGGGCCGCGTTTCACGGCGGAGCTTCGCCAGCTCCGCGTGGATCACGTCGGGTGTAGTCGACGCGGCAGAGATCTGCGGACGCGGTGCTACCTCTGCCATGGCTTCAGTAAGGGAAGCGTGCTCTGGCAAACTTTCTTTTTTTCGCGTTACGGACGTTGTAATTCAAAGGAATCGTGGTTTCTGCCGAGGTCCACGAAATTTCGGGGATGATTCTTCCGCCGCCCTTCCGAACGGGCACCGGGCCGAGTATACGCAGACTCCATCATTACGGCAATTCCTGGTCGATCCAACGCCGAGAATGGCGTAACGCGAGAAATTCGTTTGCTTCGATAGCCAATCGCGCTGAGTTGAAGGAAAGAAAGGCTCGGCTATGCCCGGTATCGGAAACGAGGGAAACAAGGGAAACGAAGGGACGAAGGGGAATATTTGCGTGGAAAACTGGATTACCAAGTTCCGTCGTGTTATCGCTGCTTAAGGGATTAGCGCTTTCTCGTGCAAAGCGTCTAGGGAATTCTAATTGTGCTCGTTAAAGCTTTGAAACTCGATAGAGCCCCCTGGCCCTTGGCGCGACCGTGAAAGAAATTACCTCTCGTTCGTTTGCCTGGTTATGCTTGATAATCTTCGCGTGTGGCAGGAATCCACGACGGAAGAGAACTTGAGGATCCCGATCATGTCCGAGCCCGGAATCCTGCTAACAGTGACAGCTTGCGTAACTGCGCCTGTTTTGAGCATTCTTCTTACCACGCTGCTCTATTAGTAAGTACCCTGTCAGGAGAAAAGAAACGATTCAACCATTTTGCGAAAGCTTACTGCTTCGGAGCATACGCGTACACCCCGGATAAGTGTATTTTACGCTAATGAAGAACGTGTTCTCCAAAGGTGATACTGTTAATCGCGTCGACTAACGAAATCGCTTTGTTCCCGTCCTCCGCTATATCGGCCTGGCTTTCGTCGTATATCACCCATTATCTGTCGATAGCATCTCACGTCCGATCAGATAATTTTTACGCCGGTATTCGCTTAATGAGCTCGACGCTTCGACCGCTAATTCCTTCGCTCTATTTTTTCCACAGCAAATTCCACGAGGGTAGCTGGCGGACGAGGTCGTCGAGAGATGATAACGGACCAGAAGCACCGAAACAACACGGACAACATCGTTCCGTAAAATTGCTATTATCGTGGGCCATTTATTACGACGTTTAAACAAATTCGCAGCAGCGCAGGTTGAAAAATGCGATTTTCACGAAACCTCGACAGGACTATGGTCGAATTCGATGGAACAAACGAGCGAGTCCGATTCATCCGCGATTATCAACTTCATCGAGAAGCTGTGCACGATGGTTGTACCGATCATCGGTCGTGCTCGTACAAATTTTCTGTCCTCGTTACGTCGAAACGTTAAGCGCACGCGGTCGCGTCGCTAATGCGAAATTAACCGTGAAATTAGGGAAAATAAACAAGAACCCCGCGGTTTCGATACGCGGCCGCGTTTTTACGATTCGCGTAGATCCAATGAACTTTGCAAGCCAGTGAATAATTACCGATTCTACCTGGCCGTTAACGATAGAGCAACGGCATAGCAACGACATGGCCGACCGATGTGCGGACCACGTTCACGTGTTCCGGTTCCATTCAAGCGATAATTTAGGGAAATAGAGAACGTCGATTTGGCCAACAGCTAGAGGCTATCGGCATGTGTTTGCTAACGCTGGCTATTGAATAATAATTTCGACCGATCTGCCGCGGAATCGAATCGGAGAGCTCGGGTAAAAATGCCGGTCCATCGTCACCGATCATGCTGTCCGCGCTTATTCACGTGAAACGCTCCACTGTTTCGTTTAATGGAATATCCGTACATGGTTGAACAAATTGATCGGCAGAATTTATCATATTATTACGCCGCGTTGGGAAATAAGCGGGGACAATCAAATTCCTGATAATATGCTTCATCGATTCAGTCTATTTGGCTCAGCTACGCCCTATGCGCGTCAACTGTGCTTCGATCCGGACGGAAATTCATTTTTCCACGCAATTTTTACGCTCGTTACGAACATTTCGAAGGCGCCACGCCGTACAAGTAGAAACCAGTGGAATCGTTGTTGTAAAATTCAAACGGAGAATTAACGTTTGACTCCTGTCGCGACTGGTATTACGTTCGCTTACCTTCCCTGACTTCTCCGTCCGTTCACCGTGTAATTGCATCCGTGTACCCGACTGAACACGCAAATTCGTTACCGTAAATTCCATATCAGCACTCGGATCACCCGCGCAGACACGTGTCACTAGTGTTCGAAAATTTAATTCCTAATGTATTACACGTACGAATGTGTACAGGTCCGTTTACGAATGATTACAACGCATGTCGGTCGAAATTCGTGCGAGGGTCGCAAGGCAGGTGGTCCTGAGAAGAATGAGATATATCTCAGGCGTATTTACGAAGAAAGGAAAACTCGCGGTCGCAAATTGGATTAAGAAGAGAGGACTGCGCGACGATATAAACCGCGCACGCTTAAAATTCTTATCGCACGAATGATGATATAAAATTTAATATAACTTGGAACTATGGCGGATTACGACTGAGAGAGCACGTCGTTTGCCCATCGGTTTACGTTTTCTTTCGTCGCGTTGGAAATTCGGCATGTTCTCTTAAAAACGCGTGAGTCCGGCTTTACGGGCACGAGAAGCTTACACAGGAATTTCGAAACCACTCACCGTGAATCGTGCAAAAGCTGCTTCTTGTCGTTCGTATGTAAGTAAAATTACAGCAAAACTTCGTTCCACATGGGTGAATAAGCAGGGAACACTCTGCCCACGTGGCACCCTCTTTGAACTCGTATCGTTCGTTGCATCTACCTGCTGGCAAGCATTTATTGGCAGTTAATCATCCAAATAAATGATTCTCTATCCCTAAGTTTCCCAGTACTTACTACCAGCAGATAACATCGCGAGCAATTTACCGATGCACGGTGCATCCGAGGTTACTTTCCGTCATTAATGTGACACTCGGAGAGAAGTGGTTGTTGTCGTGGATCGGGAAAGAAAGCGAGAGAACAGGTTTTGAACGTTGAAAGGGTAAGGAATTAGGGGATCACCGAAGAGCAACGTGATTAGGTGAAAAATATTCGGACTCATCGTGCAGTATGAGAGCCGTAATTCAACACGAAGTATACTTAGTCGATGCATTCTGCCATTCCCAGAGCTTTCAATCGCGTTGCTCTGCTGGATTCAACTGAGCATTAAAATCAATATTACGTGTATCAGATTAAATATGTAAATTCGAAACAAGTAAACGGACTACGAATAATAAATATAACGGTAATTGTATGGTTCACCTTCCAACATATGGAAATTTGCTAGGCCGCGACTATGGCTACGAGGTATAACAACTGATTGTAAATGGAAAAGCAACAATTGTTGCCCAGAGCATGGGTGTTATTATCATGCGTGTAACTTTCGTTATTATCCCGACAATTTTCGATATTATCCAGTAATTATAAAAATATACCACGACTCCAAGAATTGAGAATACGTTGCGAAACAATCGAGAACCCTTTATTCAAGATATAATAAGTTATTCGAGCAGTTTGCATCATGAACAAAATATGGCAGCAACATTATGGATAATTAACGGGGGTAAATTATTGATTTTCATCGGCTATTATTCCCGGATTACCCTTTTTCCTCAATGTTCCTCAGTCTTTGAGGGACATTCAGTGGAAGAAATATGTTCAACCTGAACATTCGCCAAGTATTTTACATACTGGAACTGATCGGAACGGTCACTTGCACTTGGCCAACAGATCCCAAAAGTAGCAAAAAGGCGATCGTAATTCGCAACTTTCAATGGCTGATTACGATATTAGATCTGATCTTTATGTTAGTTGTTTTAATCCTTGGCATCTTTCACTCTCGAAACGACATAACTAATATGATGCAAACTGCTTGTGATTTTTTTGCTTTGATGAAGGTGATATTCGATTTGATACTTTGTAAGAAAAACTACGTTCAACTGCAGGTAATTAGGTGTTCAATGTTCGTGGATATTCCGTGGTGGAGGAATAGTAAACAGATTTTTTGATCGATCTAGTTACTAATAGGGGAAATTAAGGCGTTCATAGACGTGGCCAGTGACAACGAATTTCAGATAATCCAAAGATACATGGATCGTTACAAATTTTTCTTCTCGATGACCGGGATGGGTTACATGATAGCTGGAATCTCCTTCTGTGTTACACCTTTGTTCTCTTCTCAAGAACTACCAGCTGGTGGATGGATTCCGTTTTCTATCCAATCACTCGGAGTATACTGCACAGTTTATGCAATTGAAGTTTACTGGATTTTTCAAACGGTGCTTTGCATCGGCGTGGACTTCACGGTGGCCATTCTCTTGAGTTTTCCTGCAGCCAAGTTGGACATACTAGGAACGAAATTGCAGCATGTGACGGGCTACGACATGTTGGTAAGCTGTGTCAAGGAACACCAAGAAATAATAAGGTAGATAAATTTTGAATCGTTCAAATGATTTTATCGAAGTTTAAAGTAATATGAAGAGTTATCTTATCCCGTTAAGTTACAAACACGTGACTTCTTTTGTGAAAGAGATTCTTCAGAGTCGGATTGAGATTTATAAAATTTTGTCTATGTATTTATTAACTATGTGTATGAAGTAAGAGATGCCGTGTGATGAGAATATATACTAAAGTGTTAAAAGCCGGTTTTGATGATATTTTGAAAAATTACAAATTAGCCGAATGCAACAAAAACCTAATTTTCTTTGTTTTTCTCTTTATCTGTTTATTCCGTTTATCTCTTACCTGAAGGAACAAAGATCCTGCTACTCTAGAAATATGCAATGCTTCGTCGAAATTAGCAATTAACATTTCAGTATTCTCCTATGAGAGATTGAAATAAATTGAGATTATGTCGCGATTAGATATGTGGACGATACTAGAGCCGCTCTTAGGGCATTATTATTCAAAGCGAACGTTACAGTGGGTTGTGCTGTGATATGCGGAACTATTCCTTTGATTTACGTGAGTCTGTTCTGCTCGTCACTTTTTCTTTCTGCACCAATAGTGACATAGCGTTGTAGAAAAGTAGTGATTGGATTCTTGACGCGTGTTGTGGAATTTTAAATGAAAATTTCTATAACATCCAGATGCAATCCGTGGGCGTTGTCTGTCAGTATCTTCCTGTGGTGGTGTCAGGCTGTGCCCAACTGTTCATCTTCTCCTGGCCAGCAGACGATTTAAGAGAAAGCGTAAGCCAGCCAATAGTCACGTTGATTCGATAGATCATCATTTCAGCTGGCATGCACTGACACCCCATCTTTTTTCTCCGCAATTAAACGATGCTCTTTTGATCACTTTCATCTCATATTTCCACAGACATTTAATTGAACCTTTTAATTGGATAACGTGCATACTTGTTCTTTCTTAGAGTGTACGTTTCGCAAAGTCGCTAAATGATGTCCAATGGTTAGGGAAACCGCGTAAACTGAAGAGCGCCGTTATAGTTATGATGCAGAGGAGTCAGAAAACGCTTCTAATGACAATGAGCGGTTTCCTACCACCACTTTCTTTGGAATATTTCGCAAGCGTAAGCAGCTACTATTTCTTTTTACGAAATACAGTCCAGAACTGACTTTCATCATCGATCGTAATCATTCACCGATATAACCATTGCATACAATGATTTTATAGTTTCTGAGAACAGTATCATCCTACTTCATGGCAACGAAAACTATGATTGAGTCTTAATGATCGCAGCATGTATCACCGGAATACGTATGTAACCGAAATTTGCAATAAATGTATATATTGATATTTTATTTTTCTATAAAATCAAATAAATCAACGAAAAATCATGCGTGAAACTAAGGTATAAAGTTTCGGGAAGACGTTAGGTTTTTTATATGCAGGCAGTTGTTATGAACGCGAACAATCTAATCATACATTTTAAACATCTAGAATGGGTTATCTCGTAAAATACGGGCTAATAGTTTTCTCGGATCTATATACTTCTATATAAAGTTTAATGAATTGAAACATGCCCAATTGCAAAAACCAATTATGGCGTCGCTGTACCCATGAACTCAATCAACATTGCGACGGTTTCACGTAGACTTTAAGTAATTATATTATCCTCATATTGCAGTCCCAATATTTAATCATTCGTGAATTCCTAGCTTCCCTATATAACGGATGAGTAAGGTGAAACCCAAAATTTATAATCAATTTCCGATAGCTTGTTAGGTGCAGAATAAACCATGGCGCCCGGCATACGTATCCACCATCGGTAGAAAAATAAATTCGTTGAATGTTTTATAAATATTTTCAGATATTACGAATTGATATGGAATATTTTTACATTAATTGCCGAAGAAAGTAGGAAAGTGGTCTTTCCTAAAGGCGATCTTCGTCGAATGTGGCCTATTATAGTAGTCGAAAATCTTCGTCCAGCAATGGCTAATGGGTATAACGTATCTTCTGTCATGGCTGTTGACACCGAAATTTCTCTGCATTTGCAGCAAACAGTCAGAGTCGAGCAATCTGAAATCCAAGGATTCGCGATTAAATCCAAATATTGATTTACGACTTGCACAGAGAAACAGAAATGCAAATTCTGTCATTATTTTCCGACGATATCTAATTATTTAATATCAGACGATACAAATATATATTCATATAGGGATATGGTTTGATTGGCTAATATACGGAACAAAGGATGTTGTAAATTCCAATATATTTTATTTACGAGCTAAAGGGACTTAAGAGTAAAGATACAAGCTAAAAGATTAAACTAATTACACAATCCACACTCGCACGTCAACTCTACGAACTATCAGCGACTCGACTTTCCTTCAAACCTCGTGCACAACTTTCACTAACAGGACTGTCCTAGGACAGCCATTACATCCCCTCTGCCTTCTTTCATACTCTAGCTTTGTTCCTGGTTCACGCATTTTCAGTAGCCTCGCTCTCCAGGTGGGGCGCCTTTCGCCCTTCATTTGCATTCCACACAGTCATAAATATTAGGTTCATCCGATCCTTGCACACGGTCACTCGTCCTTCCACGTGCAGTTCAGATGACACTCTAAACGTTCAATCTGAACCTTAGGTTGCTGTCTATTGCCCGGCGACAGGTAGAAGGATCCAAAGGTTCCTTTGCACTAACTCTCCCACTTACAGTTCCTACATCTATTTTATATAGTATTGTACGAAAAAAAGGACGATTAAGTATTCTATATGTGCAATCTTGAGGTGGATTTTCATAGCGGACATAGACCACCTACTTCCTCTAAAATGCGATTTTATTAATAAATTATCATCTTCGTGCACAAGTAAAATTACGAAACAACTTTATTCGAATCCCGTGAAGAATCAGAAAATGCTCTTTAAACTCATATCGTTCCACAAATCGTGTCACAATCGAGCTCGTACCAGCGATTAATCATTCGAATTAACAAGACTGCAATCTTAAGTTTCGCTAAATTTACTATTAAACGACAACATCGCGCGATTTCCAAAATTTGTAAGTTAAAATTGCACGGTACTAGCGACTTTTTGGAACTCGCTTCAAACACCAAAAGAGTGCAGAATTAAGGGTCGACCAGATCGTCGAACTACAGTGTGGGTAAATATACAGAATCACTGTGGTACTTGTAACCGATAAATTGAATCGCAACAAAAATTTCAATATTGCTTGCTGCATTCCCGTGAAGATTTCGGTGTATATACCGAGAAGTGAATCGAGGGACTGAATTAAAAAAAATCACCGATACTGCGAATAGGAAGTAACAAATAATAAGCTTTTATTCTTAACGTTTACACGGTAAAGACACGGCCAGGCGAAATAACCGAATATGAAAGATAAATGGGCGGTATTACCATAAAAACAACTCTTCTCTATAATTTCCGCTACTATCCCACAATTAACGCAACACTGTGCTATTTGAGAAGTAAATTAAATGCTACAAAATGGTAGAAAGTCGTTCATTCGGGACATAATTGCTTCGATTCACGCGACGCATTACGCGTAAACCATAATGCTATTACTGTGAATGTTTTATGTGAAATAAAGTATCGATTTTCATCTGCTTATTTTCCGAGAACACCTTCCGAGAAAAAGAAGTTGACTTTACTCTGTGCTCCACAGTCTTCGAAGAACGGTTAGTGGAATAGGCATGATCGTCCTGAACATTCGCCAAGCACTTTACATAGTGGAACTGGCCGGCACCTTTACCTGTACTTGGCCCATAGATCCGAAGAGTAGCAAGAAGGAGATAGCATTTCACAATTTCAGATGGGTGTTCACAACGTTAAACGTGATTCTGTTAATTATATTTCTGATCCTCGCAATTTTCCACGTTCGAGACAACATAGCTGTGTTAATGCAAACAACCTCTGAGACGACTGCTCTACTCGAGGTGTTCTTCGATTTGATACTTTGCAGGAAGAACTCCTGTCGACTGCAGGTCACGACAAATTCAAATTACAAAGATAGCCGCTTGTGAGAGCATGGTAAGAAGATTTTCTGATTAATCAAGGTTCTGATAGCCAAGCTGAAAGTGTTTCTGGACGAAGCCAGTGAAAACGAGCGTACCGTAATACAAGGATACATAGATCGGTACAAAGTATATTTCTCGGTGACCGGGATGAGCTACATGTTTGGTGCAGCCTCTTTCTGCTTTGTACCTTTCTTTACCGGCCAAGAGCTACCAGCTGATGGTTGGATTCCGTTTTCTATCGAATCATACGGAATATTTTGTACAATTTATGTCGTTGAAGCCTATTGCGTTTTACAAACGGGATTCAGCATTTTTGTGGACTTCATGATAGCCATTCTCTTCAGTTTCTCTGCAGCCAAATTAGACATATTGGGGATGAAATTACGGCACGTGAAAAGCTACGACATGCTGGTAAGCTGTATCAAGGAATATCAAGAAATAATACGGTAAGAGAAATTTCAATTCACGTTGAAACCTAAACTCGTCTATGTTTGAATTCATTTTTTGATAACGGAATTACGTACCACGCTTCGACTGTCTTTATAGACATAAAGTTTGTATACTGTCCCACATTGACGTTTTCACTGATTGATATTATTGAAAAAGAACATAAATAGATACAATATTCATTACTTTAGGAAAGAGTCAAACACAGATCAACTATTGTTTCTTAATTTGAGCAGCACTCTTTATATACTGAATTCTTTGTTCTTACACCATTGAATAAAAGCAGAGCATCACACGATTTAAATAAATTAAGCTATTTCACGGTTAGGTACGTGGAGGATATTAAAGTGACTGTTGAGTTTTTATTAATCAAAACGAACGCAACGATGGCCTGCGCTGTGGTATGCGGAGCTATGCCCCTGATTTATGTAAGTTCAGCCTACTCGACAGGGCTTTTCTTCCTGCACCAATAGCGACGTAGCATAGTAAACAACTAGGCAGGAAATATTAAATGGAAATTTCTATGATAACGTTCAGAATCAGTCTTTGTCCGTAATCAGTCAGTTCCTTCCAATGGTGTTGTCAGGCTGCTTACACCTGTTCGTCATCTCCTGGCCAGCAGACGATTTGAGGGAAAGTGTAAGTCAGTCAATAGCAACTTAGATTCGATAGAACATCAACTTATCTGGCGCGCACGGCATCGCTGTGTTCATTCTCTGAAATTAAACGAAGCTTCTTGCTTCATTTTCGTCTCACATTTTCATTAACCTACAAAGGTTCATTTTAATCAAATAACGAGCCTAATTTTTCTCCTCACAGAGTATTCGTTTCGCAAAATCGATCAGTGATATCCACTGGCTAGGCGAACCACGTAAAACGAAGAGCACCGTTGTGATTATGATGATAAGAAGTCAGAAGGCCTTTCTCGTTACAATGGGTGGTGTGCTACCGCCTCTATCATTGGAATATTATGCAAGAGTAAGCTGTCAGAATTTCAAAATTACAAAATAAAGTTTATCGCGAACTACGTAAATGATCAATTTAACCATTGTGTACTATCGTTAAATAGTTTTTATCTACATTATCATCCTACATCATGGGGATGAGGACCATGATTGAAACGTAATTCTCCTGGCATGACACATGAATATGTACATTCTCGACTTTAATAAATTAATCGTCCTTCAATAAAGTGTTGCGCAATTCATTTTCGTTTTCTTGATACACTTCTTTGAATTGAAATATATGAAGGAAAATATCTTTTCGAATCGCAGTTGTAGGTAACAAATACTTTATCATTTATATTTACCCTTCATGTTGCTTCGTACTGTATCATGCCGAGTAATAATTTTCTCAGTATTCATTTTCTTGTTCGTTGATTTATAAAGGGAAGAACGTATCATGGAAGAAGCAATTATGGTAGCATCTATTTCATGCACTCATAGAACATGCCATGTTGTCACGTAAAAGTAAATTAATTGTGTAGTACCGTGTATTGTATTCTTCACATTCCACCCTCCGTGAAGTTGTGGTTTCCTGACAAAAGTTAATAAACACCTGTATCCTAAATGCTGTAAAGTATATTAACATCATATTAACTGATGCGAAACTGGAATCCCCTTACTTGCCATTCCCTTGGCGCATAACCTGTTGCTCAATACACTCTGCTGCATAAACCGTTGAAAGGATTAATTTGATATTTGAGGTACAATCTGCAGAAACATTTTCTGACATATCACTTTAAAATAGAAAATTTCTGCAGTCACTTCTGGAAAAAAAAATAAAAGAATTGGAAAGAATACTTCTGGAAAATTTTGCGAGTTTATATACATTTTGTTAAAGTGCCTATGTTCTATAGTGCATCCTAACCACGGTCTTTGTCATAAGTAGCCACTTGTATTCGTCGTAAATGTACCTCGTACACGCAAGGTCACCATTTCCGGCAAAACGCTAGACACTTAAGAGTTTTACATCCATTCGCCAGTGATTAGTCAGTTTAACGCATCTTCTGTCATGGCTTCTAACACACAAATTACTCTTCATATGTACGACTGAATGGAACCGTGGATTTGAGACCTGCATAGAGAAGCACAGTTGCGATGGTAATCGATAATAAACAGTATTTATATTTGTATTCTATTTGACACTTATAATCAATATCATCACGCAAATATAAATTTATTTGACCGTCGAATTTATTTTATAAATCACAGATATATCTAGGCTCGAATAAAGATCATTTTTGGAATATTATTCTAGACACTGCGACAGCGAACCTCTACCGGATTACTAGTTCCACGGTAAGTGTCAAGCAATAGCTATCTTTTCATCGATGTTATTATGGTATTGTACGTGTCCAGATCTGTGACATTATTGAACATAAATTTACATGTGTACCTTATCTTCATTGCGTAGGGAATTATCGTGCAAATGAATTATCCGCAATGATTACCCATGATATTCACAGCTATTAAACTTACATGAAAATGATCTCTCAGAAAAGGTAGTCAGTGAATTGTAGTCGCTTCAATATGTAACACTTACCACAGCCACAATTTCAAGCAAGAAATTAATTATGCACGCGGGCGGGGAGCGAAAACTCGCAGTTTATTATTACTGCCACAACAGGCGTAATACCTCATTTCTCTCACGCTAATTAAATTATTCAAGGTATACGAATTCTCCATCTTCTACAACAAGTTTAAATCGTGATGAAGTGATATATAGTAAAGTAGATATACCATGGGCTGTGTTATTTGTCTTCCTGTTCGATTGTTGAACCTTTCCTCGAGAGAGGAAGCAAGACGTGACGACTGTACGACACGGTGGTTACTTAGTCGAACGATTAGACGATGCAAGAAATTTTACGAGCCGGACTAGAAATCAATAAGCAAAGTTAAACGATGTTTCTGGCCTAGAAATCTGACGCGAGAGAAATTATCTGCGGCGAAATTCGCCCTTTGGTCGTATATTTCCCTAGAAGAAACTAATAGGCATTTTTCGATTAAACTTTACCCTTAAGTGTCACGAAATAGGGGCATTGTGCCTATAAAATCGAGCTGAACGTGGAACGCTGGGTATTGCAAGGGGACCCAACCCTGAGATCGAGCTATGATATTACGCTGGACTCGGATGAGCCATTCACATTGCGACACCTCGACTCAAAAATTGTCATAACTCAAAATCCGTGCGTCTCTTCGAGCACTTCCGCCGCTCCAGCACATCATGTGCCAGAATCCGTCCTCTTCTCGTCTCTCTGTCCTGTTCCTCTGGCGGCGAGAACCATCTCGCTTCGCGACAGAGCACACAGAATCCTGTAGTTTTTGTTAATAACGTAAGGATCGTTGGCGGGAATAAAAAATTCTGCAGGTTCCCATCAATGGTGGAAATATTCAGCAGCACCACCACGTCCCTCCATCGATTCCTCGCAGCTAATAAAATCGGTCGAACGAGAACGTTACACCCCTTTCATCCGTTCGTACGGTTCTTATCTCTAAGAGGTAGACGTAGGCGCATCGACGCGAGAAGTTGAACATGCATAAAGTCTCGATTAGCCTGTGACTCTTTTAGCCTGGTGCATGCGAAAGGAGGGAAATGATGGAAGGAATATACGCGAATAGTCAACCGTCTGTGAATCGGGACTTTAGGGATGCTCGAGAAAGCAATCGAGATGTGTCCTCGATGGAGCAGTACACGTTTGAATATAAAGGGAGACGTAGCGCGAAAGCATACGGAACAGACGGCGGAGCAGCCTCCGCGGCAGGTGCGTTTGTTCCCCTGACCACTATGTCGCGGGCGGATAGCGCGAGCATTACAAGATACCGGAGGGCCAGGCGTCGTCCTGATGTAGTGATGGGTTCCGTGCTTCGTCGCGCGGTGCCCCACTGATGAGCGCGTAACATCCGGGAATTCGGCGAGAATTGCGTGGACCTGGACTCCCCGGAAATCGCTTTTACACTCTCCGCACGGCCACTGATCACTCGTCCGGTCGTCGACAACGCGGTCACTCCGTCCACTAGTCTCTTTGTGCGCAGGTCGACGAGAAGGTTGAAAAAGTTCAGGAAATCGGTACCGATCATCGGAGTCGTGACGACGGCAATTACGAACCTGCACGAAAAATCCCGCCTCAGTCCGAAATTTTGGCGGAACGTGACGTAACCGTAGATCGGGATTGTCAAGTCGTTCGCCGCGTACAGCTCATAGACTGTCCTTTATCGCCGACCGTTTAGCCGCGATCGCGGAAATACGCACAGGTCTGACCCGGTATCTACCGTGAAAACAGTTCCAGTCACCCGATCGGTCACAAACAAGCGGCTCGTCTTCGGCTCGCCATCGCTTGCCGCCATCAGCGATCGGCTCGTCCGTTTCTCGCCACATAATTATACGGCTGGAGGCATGTTACCGCTGATGCCCCGAATCGCCAGTGATACCAGCATCGGCCATCGTCGGGAGAAGGCAAATCCCTTCGGTCGCGTGATCTCGAACGGCTGGGCCGAGTACCGCGCGATGTCGATACGCGGCCGCGTTTTTACGATTCGCGTAGAACCAATGAACTTTGCAAGCCAGTGAATAATTACCGATTCTATCTGGTCGTTAACGATAGAGCAACGGTATAGCAACGACATGGCCGACCGATGTGCGGACCGCGTTCACGTGTTCCGGTTCCATCCAAGCGATAATTTAGGGAAATAGAGAACGTCGATTTGGCCAACAGCTAGAGGCTATCGGCATGCGTTTGCTAACGCTGGCTATTGAATAATAATTTCGACCGATCTGCCGCGGAATCGAATCGGAGAGCTCGGGTAAAAATACAGATCCATCGTCACCGATCATGCTGTCCGCGCTTATTTACGTGAAACGCGCCACTGTTTCGTTTAATGGAATATCCGTACATGGTTGAACAAATTGATCGGCAGAATTTATCATATTATTACGCCGCGTTGGGAAATAAGCGGGGACAATCAAATTCCTGATAATATGCTTCATCGATTCAGTCTATTTGGCTCAGCTACGCCCTATGCGCGTCAACTGTGCTTCGATCCGGACGGAAATTCATTTTTCCACGCAACTTTTACGCTCGTTACGAACTTTTCGAAAGCGCCACGCCGTACGAGTAGAAACCAGTGGAATCGTTGTTGTAAAATTCAATCGGAGAATTAACGTTTGACTCCAGTCGCGACTGGTATTACGTTCGCTTACCTTCCCTGACTTCGCCGTCCGTTCACCGTGTAATTGCATCCGTGTACACGACTGAACACGCAAATTCGTTACCGTAAATTCCATATCAGCACTCGGATCACCCGCGCAGACACGTGTCACTAGTGTTCGAAAATTTAATTCCTAATGTATTACACGTACGAATGTGTACAGGTCCGTTTACGAATGATTACAACGCATGTCGGTCGAAATTCGTGCGAGGGTCGCAAGGCAGGTGGTCCTGAGAAGAATGAGATATATCTCAGGCGTATTTACGAAGAAAGGAAAACTCGCTGTCGCAAATTGGATGAAGAAGAGAGGATTGCGCGACGATATAAACCGCGCACGCTTAAAATTCTTATCACACGAATGATGATATAAAATTTAATATAACTTGGAAATATGGCGGATTACGACTGAGAGAGCACGTCGATTGCCCATCGGTTTACGTTTTCTTTCGTCGCATTGGAAATTCGGCACGTTTTCTTAAAAACGCGAGAGTCCTGTTTTACGGGCACGAGAAGCTCACGCAGGAATTTCAAAACCACTCACCGTGAATCGTGCAGAACCTGCTTCTTGGCGTTTGTATGTATGTAAAATTACAGCAGAACATGGGTGAATAAGCAGGGAGCAACCTGTTCGCGTGGCACCCTCTTTGAACTCGTGTCGTTCGTTGCATCTACCTGCTGACAAGCATTTATTGGCAGTTAATCATCCAAATAAATGATTCTCTATCCCTAAGTTTCCCAGTACTAGTCCCTATCCCTGAGTTTCCCAGTACTTACTACCAGCAGATAACATCGCGTGCAATTTACCGATGCACGGTGCATCCGAGTTTACTTTCCGTCATTAATGTGACACTCGGAGAGAAGTCGTTGTTGTCGTGGATTGGGAAAGAAAGCGAGAGAACAGGTTTTGAACGTTGAAAGGGTAAGGAATTAGGGGATCACCGAAGAGCAACGTGATTAGGTGAAAAATATTCGGACTCATCGTGCAGTATGAGAGCCGTAATTCAACACGAAGTATACTTAGTCGATGCATTCTGCCATTCCCAGAGCTTTCAATCGCGTTGCTCTGCTGGATTGAACTGAGCATTAAAATCAATATTACGTGTATTAGATTAAATATGTAAATTCGAAACAAGTAAACGGACTACGAATAATAAATATAACGGTAATTGTATGGTTCACCTTCCAACATATGGAAATTTGCTAGGCCGCGACTATGGCTACGAGGTATAACAACTGATTGTAAATGGAAAAGCAACAATTGTTGCCCAGAGCATGGGTGTTATTATCATGCGTGTAACTTTCGTTATTATCCCGACAATTTTCGATATTATCCAGTAATTATAAAAATATACCACGACTCCAAGAATTGAGAATACGTTGCGAAACAATCGAGAACCCTTTATTTAAGATATAATAAGTTAATCGAGCACGGTGCATCATGAACAAAATATGGCAGCAACATTATGGATAATTAACGAGGGTAAATTATTGATTTTCATCGGCTATTATTCCCGGGTTACCCTTTTTCCTCAATGTTCCTCAGTCTTTGAGGGACATTCAGTAGAAGAAATATGTTCAACCCGAACATTCGTCAAGTATTTTACATACTGGAACTGATCGGAACGGTTACTTGCACTTGGCCAACAGATCCCAAAAGTAGCAAAAAGGCGATCGTAATTCGCAACTTTCAATGGCTGATTACGATATTAGATCTGATCTTTATGTTAGTTGTTTTAATCCTTGGCATCTTTCACTCTCAAAACGACATAACTAATTTGATGCAGACTGCTTGTGATTTTTTTGTTTTGATGAAGGTGATGTTCGATTTGATACTTTGTAAGAAAAACTATGTTCAACTGCAGGTAATTAGGTATTCAATGTTCGAGGATATTCCGTGGTGGAGGAATAGTAAACAGATTTTTTGATCGATCTAGTTACTAATAGGGGAAATTAAGGCGTTCATAGACGTGGCCAGTGACAACGAATTTCAGATAATCCAAAGATACATGGATCGTTACAAATTTTTCTTCTCGATGACCGGGATGGGTTACATGATAGCTGGAATCTCCTTCTGTGTGGCACCTTTGTTCTCTTCTCAAGAACTACCAGCTGGTGGATGGATTCCGTTTTCTATCCAATCACTCGTAGTATACTGCACAGTTTATGCAATTGAAGTTTACTGGATTTTTCAAACGGTGCTTTGCATCGGCGTGGACTTCACGGTGGCCATTCTCTTGAGTTTTCCTGCAGCCAAGTTGGACATACTAGGAACGAAATTGCAGCATGTGACGGGCTACGACATGTTGGTAAGCTGTGTCAAGGAACACCAAGAAATAATAAGGTAGATAAATTTTGAATCGTTCAAATGATTTTATCGAAGTTTAAAGTAATATGAAGAGTTATCTTATCCCGTTAAGTTACAAACACGTGACTTCTTTTGTGAAAGAGATTCTTCAGAGTCGGATTGAGATTTATAAAATTTTGTCTATGTATTTATTAACTATGTGTATGAAGTAAGAGATGCCGTGTGATGAGAATATATACTAAAGTGTTAAAAGCCGGTTTTGATGATATTTTGGAAAATTACAAATTAGCCGAATGCAACAAAAACCTAATTTTCTTTGTTTTTCTCTTTATCTGTTTATTCCGTTTATCTCTTACCTGAAGGAACAAAGATCCTGCTACTCTAGAAATATGCAATGCTTCGTCGAAATTAGCAATTAACACTTCAGTATTCTCCTATGAGAGATTGAAATAAATTGAGATTATGTCGCGATTAGATATGTGGACGATACTAGTGCCGCTCTTAGGGCATTATTATTCAAAGCGAACGTTACAGTGAGTTGTGCTGTGATATGCGGAACTATTCCCTTGATTTACGTGAGTCTGTTCTGCTCGTCACTTTTTCTTTCTGCACCAATAGTGACATAGCGTTGTAGAAAAGTAGTGATTGGATTCTTGACGCGTGTTGTGGAATTTTAAATGAAAATTTCTATAACATCCAGATGCAATCCGTGGGCGTTGTCTGTCAGTATCTTCCTGTGGTGGTGTCAGGCTGTGCCCAACTGTTCATCTTCTCCTGGCCAGCAGACGATTTAAGAGAAAGCGTAAGCCGGCCAATAGTCACGTTGATTCGATAGATCATCATTTGAGCTGGCATGCACTGACACACCATCCTTTTTCTCCGCAATTAAACGAAGCTTCTTTGATCACTTTCATCCCATATTTCCACAGACATTTAATTGAACCTTTTAATTGGATAACGTGCTAACTTGTTCTTTCTTAGAGTCTACGTTTCGCAAAGTCGCTAAATGATGTCCAATGGTTAGGGAAACCGCGTAAAATGAAGAGCGCCGTTATAGTTATGATGCAGAGGAGTCAGAAAACGCTTCTAATGACAATGAGCGGTTTCCTACCACCACTTTCTTTGGAATATTTCGCAAGCGTAAGCAGCTACAATTTCTTTTACAAAATACAGTCCAGAACTGACTTTCTTCATCGATCGTAATCATTCACCGATATAACCATTGCATACAATATTTTTATAGTTTCTGAGAACAGTATCATCCTACTTCATGGCAACGAAAACTATGATTGAGTCTTAATGATCGCAGCGTGTATCACCGGAATACGTATGTAACCGAAATTTGCAATAAATGTATATATTGAAATTTTATTTTTTTACAAAATCAAGTAAATGAACGAAAGATCATTTGTGAAACGCAGGAATAACAAGACGTTAAGTTTTTTCTATGCAGGCGGTTGTTATGAACGCGAACAATCTGATCGTACATTTTAAATATCTAGAATGGGTTATATCGTAGAATACGTGCTAATAGTTTTCTCGTATCTGTATACTTCTATATAAAGTTTAATAAATTGAAACATGCCCAATTGCAAAAACCAATTATGGCGGCGCAGTTCCCATGAACTCAATTAACATTGCGACGGTTTCACGTTGACTTTAAGTAATTATATTATCCTCGTATTGCAGTCCCAATATTTAATCATTCGTCAATTCCTAGCTTCCCTATATAACGGATGATTAACGTGAAACCCAATATTTGTAATCAATTTTCGATAGCTTGTTAGGTGTAGAATAAACTATGGAGCACGGCATACGTATCCACCATCGATAGAAAAATAAATTCGTTGAATGTTTTATAAATATTTTCGGATATTACGAATTGATATGGAATATTTTTACATTAATTGCCGTACAAAGTAGGAAAGCGGTCTTTCCTAAAGGTGATCTTCGTCGTATGTGGCCTATTATAGTAGTCGAAAATCTTCGTCCAGCAATGGCTAATGGGTATAACGTATCTTCTGTCATGGCTGTTGACACCGAAATTTCTCTGCATTTGCAGCAAACAGTCAGAGTCGAGCAATCTGAAATCCAAGGATTCGCGATTAAATCCAAATATTGATTTACGACCTGCACAGAGAAACAGAAATGCAAATTCAGTCATTATTTTCCGTGTAATATCAGACGATACAAATATATATTCATATAGGGATATGGTTTGATTGGCAAATATACGGAACAAAGGATGTTGTAAATTCCAATATATTTTATTTACGAGCTAAAGGGACTTAAGAGTAAAGATACAAGCTAAAAGATTAAACTAATTACACAATCCACACTCGCACGTCAACTCTACGAACTATCAGCGACTCGACTTTCCTTCAAACCTCGTGCACAACTTTCACTAACAGGACTGTCCTAGGACAGCCATTACATCCCCTCTGCCTTCTTTCATACTCTAGCTTTGTTCCTGGTTCACGCATTTTCAGTAGCCTCGCTCTCCAGGTGGGGCGCCTTTCGCCCTTCATTTGCATTCCACACAGTCATAAATATTAGGTTCATCCGATCCTTGCACACAGTCACTCGTCCTTCCACGTGCAGTTCAGATGACACTCTAAACGTTCAATCTGAACCTTAGGTTGCTGTCTATTGCCCGGCGACAGGTAGAAGGATCCAAAGGTTCCTTTGCACTAACTCTCCCACTTACAGTTCCTACATCTATTTTATATAGTATTGTACGAAAAAAAGGACGATTAAGTATTCTATATGTGCAATCTTGAGGTGGATTTTCATAGCGGACATAGACCACCTACTTCCTCTAAAATGCGATTTTATTAATAAATTATCATCTTCGTGCACAAGTAAAATTACGAAACAACTTTATTCGAATCCCGTGAAGAATCAGAAAATGCTCTTTAAACTCATATCGTTCCACAAATCGTGTCACAATCGAGCTCGTACCAGCGATTAATCATTCGAATTAACAAGACTGCAATCTTAAGTTTCGCTAAATTTACTATTAAACGACAACATCGCGCGATTTCCAAAATTTGTAAGTTAAAATTGCACGGTACTAGCGACTTTTTGGAACTCGCTTCAAACACCAAAAGAGTGCAGAATTAAGGGTCGACCAGATCGTCGAACTACAGTGTGGGTAAATATACAGAATCACTGTGGTACTTGTAACCGATAAATTGAATCGCAACAAAAATTTCAATATTGCTTGCTGCATTCCCGTGAAGATTTCGGTGTATATACCGAGAAGTGAATCGAGGGACTGAATTAAAAAAAATCACCGATACTGCGAATAGGAAGTAACAAATAATAAGCTTTTATTCTTAACGTTTACACGGTAAAGACACGGCCAGGCGAAATAACCGAATATGAAAGATAAATGGGCGGTATTACCATAAAAACAACTCTTCTCTATAATTTCCGCTACTATCCCACAATTAACGCAACACTGTGCTATTTGAGAAGTAAATTAAATGCTACAAAATGGTAGAAAGTCGTTCATTCGGGACATAATTGCTTCGATTCACGCGACGCATTACGCGTAAACCATAATGCTATTACTGTGAATGTTTTATGTGAAATAAAGTATCGATTTTCATCTGCTTATTTTCCGAGAACACCTTCCGAGAAAAAGAAGTTGACTTTACTCTGTGCTCCACAGTCTTCGAAGAACGGTTAGTGGAATAGGCATGATCGTCCTGAACATTCGCCAAGCACTTTACATAGTGGAACTGGCCGGCACCTTTACCTGTACTTGGCCCATAGATCCGAAGAGTAGCAAGAAGGAGATAGCATTTCACAATTTCAGATGGGTGTTCACAACGTTAAACGTGATTCTGTTAATTATATTTCTGATCCTCGCAATTTTCCACGTTCGAGACAACATAGCTGTGTTAATGCAAACAACCTCTGAGACGACTGCTCTACTCGAGGTGTTCTTCGATTTGATACTTTGCAGGAAGAACTCCTGTCGACTGCAGGTCACGACAAATTCAAATTACAAAGATAGCCGCTTGTGAGAGCATGGTAAGAAGATTTTCTGATTAATCAAGGTTCTGATAGCCAAGCTGAAAGTGTTTCTGGACGAAGCCAGTGAAAACGAGCGTACCGTAATACAAGGATACATAGATCGGTACAAAGTATATTTCTCGGTGACCGGGATGAGCTACATGTTTGGTGCAGCCTCTTTCTGCTTTGTACCTTTCTTTACCGGCCAAGAGCTACCAGCTGATGGTTGGATTCCGTTTTCTATCGAATCATACGGAATATTTTGTACAATTTATGTCGTTGAAGCCTATTGCGTTTTACAAACGGGATTCAGCATTTTTGTGGACTTCATGATAGCCATTCTCTTCAGTTTCTCTGCAGCCAAATTAGACATATTGGGGATGAAATTACGGCACGTGAAAAGCTACGACATGCTGGTAAGCTGTATCAAGGAATATCAAGAAATAATACGGTAAGAGAAATTTCAATTCACGTTGAAACCTAAACTCGTCTATGTTTGAATTCATTTTTTGATAACGGAATTACGTACCACGCTTCGACTGTCTTTA